TAGTGTGTGTGTGTGTGTGTGTGTGTGTGTGTGTGTGTGTGTGTGTGTGTGTGTGTGTGTGTGTGTGTGTGTGAGAGAGAGAGAGAGAGAGGATGGGAGGATGTGCAGTGAAGTTTGATTTATAAAGGGATCTTTTGAATAACTTTTCACTTATAACCTTACAAAAAGTAGTGGGGATTGCCGTATACTTGTAGGTTTTAAGTATGTACGATATCCAACATAACGATTATTGGAATACAGTTTTCAATAATGGTTTCTGAAAGAAAACTTTGTGCATTACATTATGATAATACATCAGTATTAAATATATCACGTATGGCAGAAGAGCCCTTCACTCATTCTTTCTTTCAGAGTCTAATGATATTGTTTCCATCATGCGACTTTAGGGAGTCTACGAGCGTCGCATGAAATATTAAATATCGCAAACGGTGACAAAAACAAACTTACTTTACTGCAGAGAAAGATGAAAAGGATCCTTCCAGTATTATCTCATCTGACTGGCAACGAAGTATTATAAAGAAGTAAAAAAGTGAGATAAGGGGATAAAAATAACAATTTTTATCTTTGCACGTAATCTCACTATATAAAATATATTTGATATAAAATAAAAACGTGCAACACAAAAACAAACTAAATAAAAAAAATTCAACTATGCAGGCTAACTTTTTGAAGTACTATTCCGGGAGATAAATGCCACGTCCACCAATCATGTCCACTTTTTCACAAATTGTCAATTGTACTCTATGACGTTTTATACTTATTATTTATAACCAACAGAAAGCCAAAGTTTTAATCTATCAAATGACGAATTATATTACATCGTTTTCTGTGCAGGGAATTGTCTATTCCGCCTTCAGTTCGAAAATGTTTCTCACGGGAAACGTATCGAGAGGCTTAGCTCAATTTTTAAAGGCTGTTATCTCATAGTTAGAAAGCCAGAAAAATTATGATAGTTATAAAACATTGTTTGTTTTGTACGTTCTATTATATGTTCTTAGGCGTATTTAATTAAATAAAATTTATTTCGTGTAGTTACTAGATAAAGAAAAATAATAATTATTCGCGAAGTATGCTCGCGAGCAGCTCGCACGTTACTTAATTCGATACATAACTTGAGATGCACGTTCGCCGACAAACGTTAAATTATCTCTTATTTGCAAGTAGCAAAAATTTGAAGAAGCTTTTTTATGTTGTTTTTGAGAGCCTAGAAGAGTTGTCAAACATTACGAGCGAATATATCAGATACAGGGAGAATCCCTGCGAATCCGGGAGACTTAGTAAGCCTAAGCCTAAGTTCAACTGGTCTGCAAGCAAGCCTAAGCCTAAGTTCAACTGGTCCGCTATTAGATCATAATGGCTACTAAAATGTTTTAAACTGGATTTACATATTTTATAGTGTTAAAACTAGAGCTCAAGTTATGGTGAACGAAGATCACTTTCGTATTTTTATTTTTTACACAAAGATGGGGAAAGGTATTGATAAAATGTCCTAGACAAACAAACGAAACTTTCAAGTAGCTCATTCAAAAGGCAATAGTCTTTGAAAACTATGGCATTATAAACGATTAAAAAAATTGTTCAT